GTTCTAACGCGACTGGGAGATCGTGAAAATATGCGAAGAAATATGAATCAACCGAGTAATGTTCGTTCTTGTCTATAGCTTTGATCTCAATGGTCTCGCTGAAGTCCATCGCGGAAGATTTCTCGACATCCACTATTGCTGAGTAAGGAATTGCGATCTGAGGAGCCGATGAATCACAGAAGATTTTCGCAGAAGTGGTAACATAAAGGGGAAATACCTTAACACTGTCGCCCATGTTCTGCGCCTTGAACATGACCTTCCGAATGGCCTTGACCCATTCATCGCGACTTGGCACCGAGTTCGCAGACAGCTTGATGGTCTTCTGGTTGGTGCGAATGCGAATGTCGCGCTCTCCGGAAGATTCGCAGCTGATTGCGTAACGCAGATCCACGACACCATGAGGGAAATAAGGATCCTGTACTGTGATCAGAGTGGTTACACCGAATTCAGGGAAGAACATACCGAAGACGATTGGTACCATGACAGGACGTCGTTCTTGAGAATGAACCAGTGACGAATCCATCGCTTAGTACGGGCGGCACGTTTGTTCATCCAGCCTGACTTCAGGACTTGGTCCTACAACTTAGTCAGCCCTTTATTAAAGTCCAACCGCTTGGTTACGCACTTCCCGCAAGGGCATATGCGCGAAAAAGCACAAATGGGAGTCAGTCAAATACATGTATCCTTGTAAGACTAAACAAATGTTAACGAGGGTATATCCTGTATGTTCGCAAGTCACTTACGGATGGATCTTAATAGCCAGCAGGGCATCTCTGACGAAGTCGTTAATACTATGAGGGTATTACAAATACGCTCTACTTTACCTGCTACAACTTCTTCAATACCAGGGACGTCAAAGACTTCTCTTAGCTTCTCGGCTAAGCGCGCCCTGCGTTGTATCTTCACGGTTCCCATGCTACCTGGCCTAACAGGATGTGCTTTCGTAGTGATTCCCAAGGAGTCGAGTTCGGGTAGCGGAGCTAATGATAGCCTTGAGCTATGACTCCCTTGCTTCGAATCTAGGGACTGGCGTTCCGCCGTCGGCTCAAAGTCCTCTTCTAGGTCCTCCTCCGATATAATGGGTTCCTCGGCAGTAGTGTCGTCCTCGATGTCAGACATGCTGAGCTGCTTCTTATGCTTGGGGCGTGTTGCAGGCATCTTATCTCTCCGCGACCTTGCCAGCGGGCGATATATTGTATGAATAGAGGAAGCCATTCTACTAACTGCGAAAAGGTCAGCGGCTGCCACTCCCAATGGTTTCTACAAGTCACGAGCTTACGTACCAAAGTTATCGTCTTCATCGCTCTCCGGCTCCGCTGGAGTAACATCGTGGTGAACATCTTCGTCCATATCGTGATCCTCTCCCCAAGGTAGGGCTTGCAGGGCTTGTATGAGTGTTTGGGTGCCGGCACGCATCTGAGGTCCTAAGTAAGTAAAACTACTTGAGATGTACGAAAATGACCCTTACGGAGCCGTCACCTCTGAATATGTTCAGAAGTGACTTCGTAGGACCAAAGGGTGGTGAACGTGGAATGATGAAAGGAGAGTCGTCCTCTGTACCCTGCGACGTCTGCGAGCTCTTTCTCCGCGATCCCGAGGGGCGAGGCACGGGATTGAGCAGCTGCGATTGCGCAGTCGTTGTTTCAACTAGACGGTGTTCAGTGGCTGTACTGTCTATGCGAAATGAGTGAATGCGCACCATCAACCTCCGCAGGCACTCTCTCCTTGCCTTTCCTACTAAGGCTGAATACCCTGCGGTGCTGTGTGCCCACTGGAAGTGACGGCTGGCTCTGTGAAAGCTGACCGGGGCGAACTGCGGCAGATTTGCTTCTGTGTAGTTTATCTGCGGTCTTCTCCATAGCACGCTTGACGATTCCGCTAGGTCTTGATTCCAGGAATGGACCGGATTGTACCTCCGAGGGTGGGTCCACCTGAGCTGTTTGGTGGTCATCAGGCGGGCCCTCGGCGCCCTGTACGACAACTTTGACAGGGATCCCTGGGGACATTGTGGGTGTTGTAGACAAGAAGCAAGGTCGCGGAAAAGCAGGCGTAACGGCAGAGGAAGTGGACGAGCCTGGATGCCTGAGCTCAGCTCCCGCTCAAGCACCCGAGGACTGCCATCTATGGGCGTCTATAGTTAGCATAGCGTGTGAAGAAGCACGTGAAAGCTGAGGCGCTTTGAGGCAGCGCTCCCATCAGCGCCTCTCTGCCTTGTGGCGATCGCGAGGCCGAGGTCCCGCCGCCTCGAGGTGACGGCGAACCTTGTGCATGAACTCTTTCTAATTGCACGGTGGTGCTGCAAAAGCAGAATAAAGCTGGCCTACCTCCGTCACCACGCTTTCTACCACAAACCTCTACCTATAATCCCCCCTGCGAGGCCGCTGTAGAATATGCGCGGGGAGCTCTGTATCGGTTCGGCTTCCTTCCTCTCGTACGTTTGCCCCATGTACCCAGTACTTCCACCGCTAATGTGCTCACGAAGCCTGGTGGCCTTGCTGCTGCTCATCTTCATGCACGTAAGTTTCCTGCCGCATCCCCCTGTCTAGGACTGGTTATCTAATCAAACTACTCGCAGGTTGGGCAGATCAACACCTCCACTGTTCCGCGCAGCATCTCAATGGTACTTCGCTTGCGACTCTGCTGGGAAGCGGGATAGATTGATGACATTACGGTGTTGCAGATGAAAGTCAATGTGTCTGCTTATGGGTGAGTACGCATTTACTTTGATCCCTTTTCTACATGTTGAACTGTACTTCAGTGTCGCTATAGCCGCTGCTACAACGCCCGATCCCGTTACCGGCCTCTACACAGACAACGCATCTGAGCCACTCCAGCAGCACCTAGGTTTACGAAACTTCTACGACTGGGGCTTGTACCAATACTGCGCCTACGTCAACGACACTCACGGCGAATGCTCTCCACATGTCACTGCAAACCGATTGCAGCCGTACGAGGCCCTCACGAGCGACATGAACGACAATTTTGTTAGACTCACGAACTCCCTCATCCCAGCCACAACGTTTAGCGACTCTCAGTATCTAGGCGAATTCACAAGGGGTGCTTACTACCTGCTGCTCCTGGGTACTATCGCTACTGCCTTGGCTTTCTTTACGTGCGTGCGCTGGTCCGACTCCCATGGCCCTTTGCTAATCCGATGGCGGCATCAGCGGACTGGTAAGACACGCCTTCGGCTTTTTTGTCTCTACCGTGTTTGCAATCGTAGGTAGCGTCTTCCTCCTCATCGGTGCGGTTATATGGACCGTCATCGTGAAGAAAGCCGAGGTTATCAATGGTTACTTCATCCCGACAACACCGCCAGTCCCATTGGGTGTCGAGGTCTCTGTCGGCAACGGGATACTCCTCGCATGGGCAGCATTTGCGTGTCTCATCGGGTCTGTTATCCCTTACATGATCAGGTCCGTTTGTCCTGTCTATTATCCGGCCTGAATACCATGCTGAAACATGCTGCTAGTTGTTGCACGTACCGCGGATAGTCGAATTAGATTCCCGATGCGGGTCATCTGGACCGGAGTGCCCTCTTTCCGCTCAAGCTGCTGGGGCCAAGGGCGCATAGTAGGCCCCGCGGTAGTATAGCTTACGTACCGTTCGATGGACATTGAAACAAATTTTATGATCCGGAATTCCCCTCGTGTGTGAGTCAGAGTGCACAGTTGGTGCGCAGCCGTGTTCGTCCTACGCGTCATTACCAATGAGTTCGGAACAGTGGGCTACTTACTACTCTGACGGTGCGTGCAGCGTGTGTGATCCTGGTCGGTTCCATCGATCCAAGCTACTGTAGTGACTTACTAATGTACACGTTGTCACGTTTGAGTTTGAAGCTTGAAGCTTGAGGCTTACAGTAAGGCTTCGACCACTGTACCGGCACGACCAACTGTTCACCTCACGCGTCACAGAGGCCTGAACAGGGTTGGGGCGAACAGGTGTAACCGATCACAGAGGGCCTCTAGACGGGCGTTTCGGAGGGTACTACGCGCCCTCACTGGCTCAGCCGGCGTTGTGAACGCGTGAACTGTGAACTCGCCAAGTTTACAAGCGTCACGCGTCACATGTAGTGAACAGTTGGTACAGTAGTTAGTTTATTTACTGTTTATAAGCAGTACGAGCTGTTTACGTTTATGATTATTTACGACCACCCCCGTAAACTGGCATAAATAGTTTATAAACAGTAAACTAAACAATATTGTCTACAATATTCCTCGTCCTCCGCAACTACCATGTTTTGTCTGCCCACAACGTGCGCCTTTGGTTCCTCCACCCCCCGGGCGCCCGCGAGGAGCTGTGCCGTTGTCGAGCCGCTTCACACAGCGCATTTCGCGAACCGGAGTAACATGCAATGCTGTCATAAATCCTGTAGAAGTGGGGTATGGCGTACTACCAAGAGTCCCGCCTTTGTAAAGTATATAACTTGATTCTGTTTATTTAAACTGTCTATAAACAATTTGCTACTGTTTACTGCTCATTTACGAGTCCGCCGTAAACATAAACTAAACAGTAATAACTGTTTACGTTTATGATTAATTACGACCACCCCCGTAAACCGGCGTAAACAGTTTATAGACAGTAAACTAAACAGTATCGCCTACAATACTGGTGAAGGGCTAATTTGT